CAAAGCCCCTCGCCCCGCCTGCTCGTGCACTCCCTTCAGCCCCGCCCCAGTGCCCCTCGCCCCCTCCCTTCAGCCCTGCCCCAGTGCCCCATCGCCCCACCCACTCCCTCACCCGCCCGCTCTCCCTTCAGCCCCGCCCCAGTGCCCCTGGCCCCGCCCACCCCCTCACCTGCGCGCTCTCCCTTCAGCGTGTCCCACACGTTGCAGTTGAAGTCGTCGTAGCCTGCGAGCAGCAGGCGGCCGCTCTTGGAGAAGGCGACGGAGGTGATCCCGCAGATGATGTTGTCGTGGGAGTACATCATCAGCTCCTGGTCCGCGCGCAGGTCAAAGAGCCGGCAGGTGGCGTCGTCCGAGCCCGTGGTGAAGGCATTTCCGTTGGGGAAGAACTGGACAGCAACGGCAGCAGAAAAACAGTTATTTAAAACCCACCGTGAGCCTTCAACAGCCATGTGCCCGCCCTGCATCCAAACTCGCTGAAAAATGTCAGCCATTTCCCTCTTGCAGCAGGAGACAGACGAAGACACTCCACCGCCACACATTCGCATTTACGGCATGATAACCCTTTAGGTACCACTATCATTCTTCCTGATGCAAATGCAGGGTTTGTTACAGAATGTTACAGAGGCCAAGCTTCACCCAATGATGCACCACTTAACCCCTCCTAACAACAAAGTTCCAGAAACGACGACAGCCTCACTCCCTCATCACGCACAATGACCCCCGTCACCTCAAATCTTTCCTTTTTATACGTTCAGCTTCCTCTGGTAGAGAGACCTACCCTCCCAGCCGGGAGGGCAGAACCAGGAGGCGTCCGCAGCCCGTGTACTCACACACACGGCGTTGATGTCGGACACGTGGCCCGTGAACGACTGCCTGCACATCCCGTCCCGGACGTCCCACAGCTTGGAGGAAGCGTCGCAGGCCCCCGACACGAAGGTCTTCATGTCGGGGCTCAGGGACAGGCTCATCACGTCGCCCGTGTGGCCCGTGAACGTGGTCGTCTGCTGGCCGGTTTCGATGTCCCATAAAGCACTGCAAACCAGGGCAGGGGAGCCGTCAGCGACCACGAGGAAGACCGCGGAAGAAACGCACCTTCCAGTCTCTAAACCCTCTATCATCTCACTCTGCAGAACACGTATGAAGGTCCACTCGTCTGGAGTACTCCCAGCCCCTTATGATTTTACATTAAACGGAGGAACAAGCCTCACATGCTTTTATGTTGGGGTGAAAAGGTGACTTAGAAAATCGTGTGCTGGTGGCGATCTAATCAAGTGGTGTACAAGACTCTGTGACACGGCAGTCTTCTTTGGCACTTTAGCCAAAGTGGGGGAAGATCACTTCGATAAGTAGCAGTCAGCTGGAGCAAAGACTTCAAATGGCAGCGAGAAGGTCACACGTCAGAAAAGGAGGTTATAGAAAAATAGACGCTTGAAATCATTGCTAGCTTCTATACTTGTAATCCCAGTAAGAGATCGAGTGATATCGGATCCCATTCTGTAATAGATGGAGCTATTTTAGGTCTTACAAGCTGCGGAAATTTGAACTTGAGGCAGAATCAAGGTCTGATTGTCTCACAACTGCTCTGGAGTAAAGTTCTGACGGCTGACATGCAGAGTTAAAAGTAATCAGCTGCTCCGAGCGCCTGAAGCATAACAGTCTGCCACACAGGTCTTTTCTTCTCTTCCAGGGGAAACAGACCCATGTTAAGGAGCCTTTGAGAAGCTCCATCTCTTTTATCTCTCTTTTTTTAATCTCTTTCCAGCCCCCGGGTTGCACACGAGAGGCGGCGGCGACTCACCAGGTGGTGTCTCCCGAGCTGGTGACAATCTGGTTGTCATCCAGAAAGCGACAGCAGGATAAGTAGCCTGAAACAAACAAGGAAACAAAACTCGTTAGCCAGAAAGCACATTTCAGGTGCACTGTACTGAAACAACGCGCAGCGCTCTGCGGAGGACACGATCGTCACGGGACTTTTACCTGTGTGCCCGGGCAGCTCTCGGGTGACTCTCACGTTGCCCTCCCTGGTCTTCAGGCTGTATATAGAGCAGATGTTGTCCAGGCCGCCACAGGCCACGTAATTCCCAGAGGGGGCGTAGGCACAGGTCATGACCCAGGATGACCTCAGAGGAATGGCATGCATCTGGAGAGAGCAGGGAATCGCAGCTTACCAACTCCACAAGGGCCACAAGACCTCAGCTGGAAGTTTTAAACTTCACAGAAGCTTTATGCTCAT